CTGGCCCTTTGGGTACATACCGGGGTCGCAGGGCCCCCTGCGACCCGGTATGTACCCACTGAATGTGGGGCCCGGACGACCTGAGCAGTCCGGGCCCCCCAGGACCGCCGGGCCCATGACAACCGTTACGGTTGTCATGCCCTGATGGCGGCCCTGCACGTAGAATTGGAAGGCGGGCTGCCAGGTTATTACCACACGGACGGCGTCCATCTCTCAGCAGTGGGTCTAGATTTGCTGAACTTGGGATTGCAGGAGGGGATGCAGAGGGCTCTCTTTCTTCGGGGTGGCGGAGCTCGGTCGGCTTGACGGGATAAAGGTCCGAGCTTGTGGCGGGATAGAGAGCTAGGGAAGGCAAAAATAGGCTCCCCATGAGGAACGTGAGGAACAGGAAGAATTGTGGTCACTGGTGGATGGTGGGTTTCGAGTCCTGGAGGTGGCTCAGAACCTGGTGGGGTAGGGGTATCTGGGTATACCCCTACCGTGGTTACTTATGGTTGGCACTTAAGTCGGTTCATGTTGGACTGAGGTTAAAGCGTTATTTATATATATTCATGTGTTTCTTATGTTGGGTCATTGCCCTGATATTTAATAAATGTATAGATGCGAGGGCGGAGTATGGGGGCAATGACCCATGTTTTATATATATGTTAATTATTAGTATTGTTACTATGTTTGTTAATAAAGCTGTGGACTATTTTTCCCATATCCCTGTGTCAGCGTGTTATTGGGGATAAGTATGTGGGGTGGTTGTTGTCAAGGTTCCGACTGCCCATATGGCGACTATACACCAGTCATGTAGCCCCATGTAGCCAGAGCGCAGCTTAGCGGAAAAGGGCCTTGACAGGAGTTAGGAGGCAGGCATAGGAGGGACCAGTAGGTCTGTGGGATTATGGGATGGGGGCTGGCTATTTAATAGGCAGCCATTTTAAAATTGTGCACATTAATTTCTGCCTAGCGGTGTTTGTCCCACCCTCCCTCCCTGTAATAGGTTGTTTCTTTTTTATCCCGTTTTGTCACAGCGGCGGGATAGAGAGCTAGGGAAGGCAAAAATAGGCTCCCCATGAGAAACGTGAGGAACAGGAAGAATTGTGGTCACTGGTGGATGGTGGGTTTCGAGTCCTGGAGGTGGCTCAGAACCTGGTGGGGTAGGGGTATCTGGGTATACCCCTACCGTGGTTACTTATGGTTGGCACTTAAGTCGGTTCATGTTGGACTGAGGTTAAAGCGTTATTTATATATATTCATGTGTTTCTTATGTTGGGTCATTGCCCTGATATTTAATGAAGGTATAGATGCGAGGGCGGAGTATGGGGGCAATGACCCATGTTTTATATATATGTTAATTATTAGTATCGTTACTATGTTTGTTAATAAAGCTGTGGACTATTTTTCCCATATCCCTGTGTCAGCGTGCTATTGGGGATAAGTATGTGGGGTGGTTGTTGTCAAGGTTCCGACTGCCCATATGGCGACTATACACCAGTCAAGGCTGCTGGGAAGGAGCTGAATAGAGATCATTTCAAGGAGCAAGGTAGGCTCCGTAAGCAGTGGCCTTTCATGTTAATTTTACTGATTCTTAGAGTGTGTATATTTAAGGGTGTATTTGTGAGTGTATTTGGTGTGTGTCGGTATGGATCAATGTGTGTGTCAGTATGGATCGGTGTGTGTGTATGTCAGGGAGTATGTATGCTTTAGTGATTGTGTGCCAGTGTTTGGATGGGATACAGCATTAGTTTGTTTGTGTGCCAGTGCCTGTTGATGAGTATATGTCAGTATGTGTATGTGTTGGCATCAGTGACTACACACCAGTGTGTGTGCCAGTGAGTATCCATTAATTACAAATCCATGTGTCTGTCTATATCTGTTTTTTATTTTATTTAAAATAACAGATTGAATTAAAATATATATATATATATAGTTTTGCTTTATCTATGTGATTTGGTGATTTGTGGGAGTGTTATGCATCTATATCTTTGCACAAATGAGCATAGGCAGGCAGTCAGATCACTGAGGGCTGAGGCAGGCAGGCAGCTGAAGGAGGGAGGGGCGGCTGGCTCATTTATTGCTGAGGGAGAGGGAGGAGTGGCCAGCCCATGGAGAGCTGTGGAAGGGAGATGGGTGATTGATGGAGGGGAGTGTCATGGCGAGGGAGCTGTAATCTCCTTGCTCTGCTCCCTCGCGCGGCTAGCAGTGATGCCAGGAGCCATGTTATGATGTCACTCTGGCCCCTGGCTCACTAAACAGTGTGTGAGAGGGAGCTGAGTAGGGAGATGACAGCAGCCCTACTGGACCCCAGTGAAAGCATAGCCACTCCAGCTCTCTAAAGGTAGGGAGGCTGGGTGGATTTAAATAAAAAAGTAATTAGTTGTGAGTGAGTGTGTCTGAGTGTGTGTGAGTCTAAGTGTATGTCTGTGTGTCAGTCACTGAGTGGGAAACTTTTGCGCATGCACGGCAAAATGCCACTGTGCCAATTTAACTTCTTATGGAGATGCATTGAATCAATGCATCCGTATAGAGAACATTAACATAGGTGCTACACAGTGTGAAGCACTGACCCAGGAAGCACCTCTAGAGGCCGTCTGAGTGACTGTCGCTAAAGGTGTCACCAGGCAGCAATGTAAACACTGTCTTTTGTCTGCAAAGTCAGTGTTTACATTTAAAAGCGTTCAGGAACAGGATATAGACTTCAGAACAACTACTAGTGGTTCTGGTGACTATAGTGTTTCTTTAAAAATTGTATTATTGACGTTGATTTCTCTGGCTCCTAACTTTTCTAGCTGGCTGCTAGATTCCAAGCAAATTTGTCAAGCCCTGTGTGTGTATATGTGAATGTGTGTGTGTATATATACACACACACACAAACGTAATCTTGTAAATTATTCACA